CACCGGTGCCCTGGCGCTCACACGTCTGCTCCCCTGAGCCAGCGGCGCCCCGTCGCGCTCTCCTACCCCCGTTGGCACGGCGCTGGGGGCGCCAGAAGAGCCCTAGGCGCCCCGAGGTCCTGCTCCCGGAGCCCGCCCTCGGCTAGGGGTGGGCATCGTCTTCCAGGTCGGGTCCACGTGGCCCTGCCCCAGCGTGGGGCTTGGCCCTCCCCCGGTGGCCGGGTGACTCAGGCCGCAGCTGTTCCCGCGTCACATGAGGGAGGCGGGCGGCCGCGGCGGGGGAGGGGGCTGGGCGGGAGGCGGGGCGGGGCCGCGCGGCGGGCGGGGCGGCGTGGCGTGGGGGGCGCAGCTAGAGAGCCCTGGAGCGGCGGCGGGAGAGGAGCGCGAGCCTCCAGGACCAGGTGGGGCGCAGGGCCCGGGCCGCTGCGGGGGCGGGGGGCTCGGCGGCCGCCCCCTGCTCCAGGTTCGCCCCGGTCTCCGAAGACCCGCCGCGCTCCCGGCCGCTCCGAGGCTCTGGCAACTTTGAAAAGTTCCAGAGGCCCGGGCGGAGCGGGGTGCGGTGGGGGTGCGGCCGCACCTAGTTTTTGGGGTGGTCAGAGCGCAGGGAAAGTGACCGGCGGTCGGGTTTGGGTGGGGACCGTGTTCGGAGCGGTCTGGTGGGGAGGGGGTGCTGAAAGCCTGGGGCAGGCGGCGGAAGGTGGGCGGCGGGCTCCCTCCCTGTCCGCGCCCTCGGCTCAGTCCCGGCTGCGCGGCCGTCGCCCCCACCCCTCTCGGGCAGGGAGAAGAGGGGCCTGGGAGACGTGGATCTGTCCGCGGGTTTCCGGGTGGGCGGGGCCGGGAATGGGGCCGTGCAAGGAAGGCTGCGAGGGCCGGCAGGGAGCCCGAAACCGAGGGCCCCCTCGGCCGGTTCTAATCCCCCTGCCCGCCCCTCTGTCCCAGGTCCGGCAGCCATGGCGGTGGAAGGAGGAATGAAATGTGTCAAGATCTTGCACTACGTTTTTCTGCTGGCCTTTTGCGTAAGTGGGGTGGGGAGATGAAGGGGGCGCGCTGGCAGGGTGCGGGGAGACCTGGCTTCGGAGTGTGAGGGCTGAGGAACCAAGAATGAAGGCAGCTGGAAACCAGATGTGGAAGGAAAGCCCGGGGAACAGCCGGAGACAGCTCGACCACCTCCTCCAGCAGCCTGCAGGGACCTCTGAGGCTGGTTTGGATGAGAATGGTCAGCTTGGATGCGTAGCTCCCTCACCCTAACCCCTCCTGGCCCTTCCTGTCTGGTGACCCAACCACTTGTGATAGGGGTAGTGGGGCAACCAGCCAACGGCTGATGCTATCGCCATGCCATGGGTGGGGAGGGGCTCTGCTCACCTCAATTTGTTCCTGCCCTGGGCTCCCAACTTGAGAGGCCACTGCTTGTCCAGGGAGGGGCACACCACTCTTAAAAATTTTATTTATTGATTTGAGGGGGGTGGGGAGGGACAGAGAGAAATATCTATTTGTTGTTCCACTTATTTATACATTTATTAGATTCTTGTATGAGCCCTGACCAGGGATCACTGGCAACCATGGTGTATAAGAGGACGCTCTCAGCAACTGAGTACTGGGCTAAGGCATGAGGCACACCAGTCTTTACCCCTTCTCCTCTCTGGCCTAGCTAGCCCAAGGAACCCTATTCACAGCTGATGGGGAAGAGTTGGGCATGGAGGGTAGTGAGAGGGCAGTTCTAGGAGCCCAAGAGGCCCCTAGGAAGCACTACTTAAAAAAAAAACACACCACATATTTATTTATTTAAGAGAGGAAATGAGAGATAGAAACATTGATGAGAGAAACATCAATCAGCTGATCAGCTGCCTCCTGCACGCCCCCCACTAGGGATCCAGCCTGCAACCTGGGCATGTGCCCTGACCTGGAATCGAACTAGGACCTCTCAATCCACTGGAGGATGCTCAATCCACTGAGCCACACTGACAAGGCAGCACTAGTTTCTTTCTTTCGTTCTTTTTTTTTGGTATGTGCCCCTAGCAGGAACTGAACTCAGGACTCTCTGGTCCGCAGGCCTATGCTCCAGCCGCTGAGCCAAACCGGCCAGGGCAGCACTAGGTTTTTTTTTTTTTTTTTTTAATGTTTAAAAAATTGATTTTCTAGAGAGAGGAAGGGAGAGGGAGAGAGAGAGAGAGAGTGGATATGAGAGTTGCCTCCTGCACACTTCCACCAGGGATTGCGCCCACAACCCTGGCATGTGTCCCGACTGGGAATCAAACGGTCAACCTCCTGGTGAACAGGATGATGTCCAACCAACTGAGTTACACTGGCCAGGGAGGAAGCACTGCTCTTGGTTAGGAATATGTGCCCTGAGGTCAAGGCTTTCTGGGAACTTCTCTTTTTGCATTTGATTAAACTGTGGGCAAGGATGGGTCATCCTCCTTCCCCACATTCAAGTTTGTGGGGGAGGAAGATGACCCATCCTTGCTCACAAGCTCACAAGGATGGGTCTCTTCAGGATGGTGAGAATCTGTCTCTTCAGGATGGTGTTAAATTTGTCTCCTGGGTGCACCCACTGCCCTCCACAACGGGTTGTGGGTCTTGCCTAACCCTTACCTGTTCTCTTCGCAGGCCTGTGCAGTAGGACTGATCGCTGTGGGTGTAGGAGCCCACTATGTCCTGAGTCAGACTATCAGCCAGGGGGCCACTCCTGGCTCCATGTTGCCTGTGGTCATCATTGCAGTAGGTGCCTTCCTCTTCCTGGTGGCCATTGTGGGCTGCTGTGGGGCCTGCAAGGAGAACTACTGTCTTATGATCACGGTGAGTGGACTGTGAGGCCATTGTGGTTCGTGGGACTTCTGGAAGGTAACTTCTGTGGAGGGGCCTCAGGAGGTGGGTAGGTGAGGAAAACCTTTGTGAGTGTTCCAGAGACTGGCTGGGCCACAGTAGGCCCCTCTCACCGAGACTCCAAACCTGACTCCTGTTCTTTGTGTCTGCAGTTTGTCATTTTCCTGTCTCTCATCGTGCTGGTGGAGGTGGCTGCAGCCATTGCTGCGTATGTGTTTAGAGACAAGGTAAGCAAGGAATAAGGGCAGGACCTTGCCTCAGAGGCCTGGCTGCTCTGGGATCCAGGGACCCTGAATTCTGACCTCAACTTCCCTACTCCCAGGTGATGTCAGAATTTAATAAGGACTTCCGGCAGCAGATGAAGAATTATCCCAAACAGAACCAGACAGCTTTTATCCTGGACAAGATGCAGAAAAATGTGAGTGGGGTTGCTGGGAGCAGGGGTAGTGGAGGAAGATTCTCATCTCCATATTAAAGATGGAGGTTCACTTAACCTCCCCCATCTCTCTCTTCTCCTTCAGTTCAGGTGCTGCGGGGCGGCTAACTACACGGATTGGGAGACCATGTCTATTGAGCCCAAGGGCCGTGTCCCTGACTCCTGCTGTGTTAATGTCACTCAGGGCTGTGGGATTAATTTCAATGTGAAGGAAATCCATACGGAGGTAGGGAGGAGGCTGAGATGGGGGGACTTGGGAAATGTTTCAAGAGGTGAGAGGAACCAGGGATGGAGGTGGAGAGGGTTGGGGCTCTGAGAAGTTGGGGATCAGGAATGGGGAGGGGATCCGGGAATGCTAGGGGTGAGGTGAAAGGCACAGAGGGCGGCAGGCAGATGGACATGGGGAGGTGGGTGGGGAGTTTCTGATGGTGTTCTTGCCCTGTTTGTCTGCTGCCCTTCAGGGCTGTGTAGAGAAGATTGGAGTCTGGCTGAGGAGCAACGTGCTGGTGGTGGCCGCAGCAGCCCTGGGCATTGCCTTTGTGGAGGTGAGAGGCATGCTTAGGGCTCATTCAGGGCATCTGGGAGTAAAGGCAGTGGACAGGAGGGTTCTGAGGAGAAAAGCCCTGGGTATGGTTAGGGTCTCTTGGGTGGTTGGGTGTACCTTGCCTGTCTGACTCATCTCATCTCACCCCCCACCCCCTTCTAGGTCCTGGGAATTATCTTTGCCTGCTGCCTTGTGAAGAGTATCCAAAGTGGCTATGAAGTGATGTAGGGAATCTGGTCTCTTTAGCCCCTCATTGAGGAGAGGGTGGGGGGTAGTATACTCCACATTTTTCAATTAAACGGATTATTTTTTCAGACCGAAAAGACAGTCCGTCTTGAATGATACTTTATCCCTTTTCTGTCATCAATATTCCTGTACTCTGGGACCCCTTCTTCTATTTGCACCTCCAGGAAAGAAAGGCCTACTTTGGGGGGTGTTGGAAAGGTATTGGTGGGCTGGCTATGGAAGTGGGGTTTGGGAGGAGGCTGTGGCCCACTGCTCTCATCTCCTAGTTGTGTGCGGCCAGGCTCAGTGCTGCAAACTTCATCAATCAAAAGGATTCCCCACAAAGGTCCTCCCTAGGACAGGCCAGCCCACGTCTATCATGGACATCTCCTAGGCCTTCTGCCCTACTTAGGGCCCAGCAACTCCCCAACCCAGGGGCTTGGCTCCTTTCAGGGTGGTGATAAGTTGCTCTGACATTTGTGTGGCCAGTGTCATCCATCCTGACTTAGATAAGAGAATTTAAGTGGGTACTACCTTTTTTTCCATGGAAACCACCCAGACTGGCCCTGACCCCTCCTTACCACCTTCCCTTGCCCCCCAAGAGAAATAATATAAGGGCCATTCCCACTCCAAACAATGAATTATTACTTCATACAGAAAATAAAGGAAACGTCCAGTGGTGCCCCCTGGTGGCCATTTAGGTGCAGCGTTAAAGACTACATAGAGACGCAAGACAGCTCCCTTTAAGAACTCCAGTGGTGCTAGTTGTGTTGCAGCCACTGAACAGGCTAGAGACCCTGGGTAATGTAAGTGAAGGGTAGTTAGCATTTATATGGAGAACCCTCACTCTGGCCAGTTTTGCTCCAGCAGTTAGAGCACCAGCGCGCAGACCGAAGGGTCACGGGTTCGTATTCCCAGTCAACTCACAATCAAGGGCACATACCTGGGTTGCAGGTTCAATCCCCCACAGGGTCGAATGATGTGTCTCTTTCACAATCTTTGGATGAGGATTAGTAACAACAAAAACGGAGCACCTTCATTTCTGCACACCTACTTTTTTTTTTTTCTAAACACATTTATTGTGTGCCTATTTTGTGCCAGGCACCAGACAGTACCAGGGGTGGGGACAGAAATAAAGTTCTTGTACTTGAAGAACAACCTCTTGCTGGAAGGCTGGATTCAGCAGACTGCCTGGGCAGGCTTGGGAAGGACCCAGGTGAGAACAGCATCCACCAGGCTGGCTGGCAGGTAGGAGGCTGGCAGCCAGAGCAGCTTGGCATCCCAGCCTGGGCTGTAGCGGGTTCTGGGGTGACGAGCAGTCAGGGCATGCTCCAGGCACCTGCTCACCTTGGTTAGGTCTGAGTCACAGATCAGGTTCATGCCACGCTGCTGCACTTTCAGGTCTGTAGCCCAGTGGGTGGTTGTAATCAGTGCCCTTGTCCCCCTCTAGCCCATCTCAGGCCCTCTTCTGGGTCCTGGGGCTTGTTGCCCAGCAGAGATGAGAGGAATCCTTAGTCCCATTCCTTTTGGGGAATGGGCAGGCTCCACATGGCCTGGGTGTTCTATAGCATCCCATTCACCCTCACCCACTTCCTGACTGCCCTGCCTACTTCCTCCCAGCAGGCTGGTGCAGGACTGACATTTCTGGCACTCTCATTTCCTCTTATGTGGGCCCAGCTACTCACACTTAGTAAGGAAGGCATCTCCATAGTGTGCTTGTGTGGCTGGAGGCAGCCGTGCCCAGCAGGCCTGCAGGGCATTCTCCAAACTCTCCAGATTTGTCACAGGGGTTCGGAAGAAGCCAGGCTCCACGATGGAGACTTGTACTCCGAAAGGAGCCATGTCCCGCCTGGAGTGGGGGCAGAGGGAGGTTTCTGGGTTCTTGCCCTTATAGACAGAGGATGTTCAGGGACATGGGTGGGAGGCTAAGGTGGGAAAATGATCAGACCAGGGACAAGGGGTCCTGACAATAAGGGATACGCTGTCACCCTGAGATGAGAGGCAAAGGGGGACAGAGGAAAGGAGGTTTGTCTTCCTTTATATTCTCTTCTACGACCTAGAGCAGGGGTCTGGGTCTAGATAGTAAATATTTTTGGTACTGCAGGACCAAAAGTTAACCATTTAAAAGTGTAAAAATCACACTGGTTGGTGATTAGAGCACCAGCCCATGCACCAAAGGGTCTAGGGTTTGATTTCTGGTCGATAGCAAGTACCTGGGTTGGCAGGTTCAGTTTCCAGCTCTGGTTGGGGCACGTGCAGGAGGCATCCAATTCATGTCTCTCAAATCCATGGTTCTCTCTCTCTCCCCCACCTTTCCCTTCCACTCTCTCTAAAAATCAATGGAAAAAATATACTTGGGTGAAGATTAACAACAATAACAAAAAGTAAAAACCATTATTGTCTTATAAACAGCTGGCCAGATCTGGCCTGAGAACCAGTTTGCAACTTCCAGACCTAGAACCCTATTCCCTAGCTCCCAAAACACAGGGTTGAGTCCTGAGTGCTGGATATGAAGGTACAGACTGGTATTTGCTGGGAGGAAAGTGGGGATACATCCAACCACTTGGCCCAGATGCAGAAATCCAAGTATAAAGTATGTGTTTCATGATGTCAATTGGAAAATTGAGAGACAAAAGGATAGGGACAAAAGTCAATATTGAAATTACTCGCTGAGTGATGGTGACAAAGGCAGGCTTCCTTCAGAGGGTGGGCTTGGCTTTGGGGACTTGTACTTCTGCTCAAAATTCAAGCCCTAGCCCTGGCCAGTGTGGCTCAGTTGGTTGGGGTTGTTTTGTGCACTGAAAGGTTGCTGGCTGATTCCGGTCAGGGCACATGCCTGGGTTTTGGACTCGATCCCTGGTAGGGGGTAGGGAGCATGCAGGAGGCAGCTGATTGATGTTTTGTTCACATGGATGTTTCTCTCTCTCCCTCTCCCTTCCTCTTTCTCTAAAAAATATCAATAATAAATCTTTAAAAAAAAATATATTCACGTCCTGCTCCCATGTTGTCCTTGTCAAGTCTCCACTGTGCTCTCATGGGACTTTGAACATTACTGTTTGAAGATGAGGGGCAAGAGCCCGGCTGGTGGGGCTCAGTGGTTGAGGTTGCTGGTTCGATTCCCAGTCAGGGCACATGCCCAGCTTGTGAGCCTGATCCCCAGTGGGGGGCATGCAGGAGGCGGCCAATCGATGTTTCTACCCCCCTCTCTCTCCCTACTTGTCTCTCCCTCTCCATTCCTCTCCCTTTCTAAAATCAATAAAGAAAAATAAAATAAAGATGAGGGGCAGGAGAATAGAATGACCAGGCTTGGTAGGCGAGCAGACAGTTCCAATGGTCTTGGGTAAGTTATGTCTCTAAGGGTGTTAATACCTACCCTGATGGGGTTGCCAGGAGAATTAATGAGAATATTATGTAAAGGTACCAGCTCCTCATAATAGTTATTAATAACACTAATAATAATGATAGCAGGCTTTTTTGGGGCATTTTCTTTTTTTAAATCCTCACCTGAGGACATTTTTTGCATTAATTTTCAGATAGAGCAGGAGGGAGAGAGGGAGAAAGAGAGAGAAACATTGATGTGAGAGGGACACATCGATTGGTTGCCACTCACACGATCCCAACCGGGGCTGGAGACAAACCGCATCCGAGGCATGTGCCCTTAGTGGGAACCAAACCTGGGACTCTCTGGTCTGCGAGCCAATGCTCTAACCGCTAAGCCAAACTGGCCAGGGCTTGGGGCATTTTCTATGTGCCAGGTATTTTTGGGGCTTTACACATACCTCATTTCACTCACAACACCCAAGAGGGCAGTCTTCTCGTCCTGATTTAACAGATGAGGAATAAACTGGAGTAAAGAGAACTAACCTATTAAGGTCACAAAGCTTGAATGAGAAGCTGGGATTTGAATCCATGAAGTCAAGCCCTAAACTACCTCCTCTGAAGTATTCCATTTCCATTACATGTTTTAATCATCTCTGCAGGGCAGACACAAACTCTTTTGTGAGTGGGCTGGGAACCCAGGGACCTGCCCCCTCACCTTAAGCTGTCCGAGAAGGCTTCCAGGCCAAACTTGGAGACACAGTAGCCCCCACCAATGGCTGCCAGGCGACCCAGGACGCTGGTGATGTTGATCACCCGGCCCCGGGCCTGCTGCAGTAAAGGTAGCAGGGCAAGAGTGACCTCGATGGGACCCAGTGTGTTTACATTCAGCACCCGATGGAAGTCATCCCGAGTCAGCCACGGTGTGGGCCCAATGATACCAGCCACACCAGCATTATTCACCAGACCAAAAAGCCCTGTGGGGAGGTGAGACACACTGAGGGTAGTTGAGGCATTGCAATGGCCCCTCTCCTTCCTGGGAGGACCTGAGTACTGCTCCTTCCCCTCACAGTCCCTCTGGTTCCCACAGCCCCTGCGAGTGAACACCCTACACCATGTTCCCAGTGGCCCCAGCCATACTCACCCGTTTCCCCAACATATGTTTCTACCCATTTGGCTGCCCGCTGGACACTCTGGGGATCAGTGACATCCAGTAGGGTGGTGTGGAGGCGGGAGGAGGCTACCCGCTGTAGGTCCTCTGCCCCTGAGGGAGTCAGGCAGCTGGCCAGGACTCGGAAGCCTCTCTGATCCAGCCTCAGTGCCAGCAGTCGCCCAAAGCCAGAGTCACAGCCGGTGATGAAGACGAAGGCATCGCTGGGGGGCAGGCTCTGCCGGTCCCTGAGCAACCACAGAGCTGCCCAGAGTAAGATTCCCAGCAACAGAGGCAGCCACATGGTTGGAGGCCAAGTGATGTGCAGGTGGCAGCCAAGGCTGGGCAGGAAAACTTGTGTAGTTTACTCTGGCCCTCAAGCCCTGGCACCTAACAGCCACCCTAGCTGGAAGTCTTAGGTCTGAGCATTTTGAGAAACTACCTGCTTGGCAGATAAATGCAAATTATGCCTCACTAGGCAAAGCAAGGATCTTGGCAGACCCTATATTTGTGGGTAGCTTAATGAAAACCCAGAAGAGCCAGGTCCCGAGTGCAGGAGCAGAAGGATCTTGTTTGCCATCACCTCTTCTCTCTTGCTAAACCAGAGACATCTGAACTCTCTAAATGTAAGCTGGGCCTTGTTTTAGGAAACACATACGGGGCAAAGAGCCCTGCATTTCAGTCCTGGTGGCCCCAAACTTGCTGTGCGATGCTGAGCGTCTCTGAACCTGTTTTCTCATCTGCCAAGTGGGACTAACACCCATCATGCTCACCGGGGAGTTGTGGAGGATCAAAAGGGAGAATGTGTGAGGAAGCACGTTAAAAGTTTAAAGCTTTGAGCTATTAATACACGTAATATCTTACAAGGCTTCCCCTAGCACCCCAGCTCCCAGCACCCTGCTTACCTCCTCTGGGGAAACTTAGCAGGTACTACAACAGAAAATTCTTCTTTGCTCTGTTTGAGAGACTTTGCTCCCAGTCTTCCCACACAAGCTACAGCTAAGGCCAAAGTCTGCAGTGGGTGGACTGGGTGCCAGAGTATTAAGCATATGGGGTGGGGTGGGGGAAGACTGGGAGGTGGAGTCAGGAAAGCTGAATTCTGCTGGTTGACTTCACTGTATTTCATATGCAAGTATGGCACAGGCCAGGCATGCAAAGACCCCCAGGAGGAGGGATCTATCAATATGACAGCTGCCCCTCCCTGTTGGTGACCATGGACCTGTCATTCCTCTTCCTTCCCAGCCCCTGAAGTGCCCCCATGCCCTAGAGTTAATCTCCCACCTGGTCCAGACTCATGACACGGCTTAGCACCAGGCTGGAAGAGGCCAGGAGCGCGTGGAGAGGCAGCGCGCCAGAGCCGGGACCAGGTCTGTTCCCTGTCTTATTTCTCCTCTGCAGGAAATGGAAGTCCTGAGTTAGGTTGCTTGGGGCAGGGCCCGCACTGGGACCTTCTCTGGGGAGGTATGGGAAACTCCCAACCTCTGCTTACCCAACAGGCACCAGCACCAGGCCTGAGAAGGAAAAGAGAGTTGGGATAATAAGAGGAAGCTAGTTCCACCCTCTATCCAAAAGGTGCCTGTGCCTTAGAAGAACAATTTTTGGCCGTTCCACTCCCACCCCCCAATGCTGAGCTAGTAGTTCCTTAAAATGTACTGCAGAGAAATGGAGGCTTGTGTTTTATTTGTGGCCTGTCAGCCTCCCTTTTGCCCCATGGGAAGGTAGAGGGGTAGGAGCGAGGTAGAGGGGGAGGGAAGAGGGGCTAGGATGGCGGGGCAGACTGCAGCTGTCCTTTGTAGACATATTCCAGGGCGGTGGCAATGGTGCGCATGTCCAGCTCAATGCTCCGAGCCCAGTTCTCCACATCCCCGATTTCCTGGGAAGGGGAGAGGATGGGAGTCCTCAAATCAGGGTGGGTAGCATATGGCTCTAGTGGATGGATGGGGCACTTTCCACCCATCCATCTACAAAGGTCTTTGCTTGGACCCACCAACTACATTTACCTCTTTCTCTAGCCTCTCTGACACTAGGGCCATAGATCAGGTTTCTGGAGCTATCCCTAATTATTCTTTAACCCCAGGCAGGCCTGAGGTGACCCAACTGGTGGTGGCCAGTGGGGGCCCAGGATGGGAATGGTGATGTAAGGAGTGTGGCCCACCTTGAGTGCCTGGTTGAAGTTCTCCACCATCCCAATCCATTGGCCTGTCTGCTTGGCAAATTGAGCAGCCTGAACCTGTAGGGTCTTCACTTCATGGTCCAGCTTTCTCTGGTTCATATAGGCCTGGGCCACACTAGAGTTTGGAGGAAGGAAGAGATCAACTCACGCAACTGGTGGGAGTGGTCTCCAGGACTAATATCCTACTGCAAGAGTGGGAGGCCAGCCCTGGCTGGTTTGGCTCAGTGGTTGGAGCATCGGCTGGCAGACCAGAGAGTCCGGGTTCAGTTCCTGCTAGGCCCTAGTGGCTAGGGGCACGTACCAAAAAAAAAAGAAGGAAAAAAAAAGAGTGGGAAGCCAGCCAGGGGTCAGGCTGGAGACAACCTCATGACTTTGACCATTCTGGGATATGATGCAAACAAGACTAATACATGCAAATGAACCCAGTTCCTTCTTCTCATTCCCAGGATTCCCAGGAGAACCTAGCTGGGAGCTGACTAGAAACATACCATCTCCTACCTCCCAAAGGAGTTCCTGAATTTGGGTGGGGGAAGAGAGGGCTAACCTGGTAGGGGGATATCCCTGAGTAAGAAGCTGGGGAGAAAAAGGGGGTGTGGAGGAAGCTGGGAAAATTCAGCAGCAGGGACACATCTGGCAGCAATTGGAAGCCTAGGGATCTGTGCAAAAAGTTGGGAAGGGAACTTGGGCCGCTCCCTGAATCTGGGGTGGGATGAGAGAACAACCCCCTCCCCAGGAACTCAGGGTCAAGAGAAGATCTCTCAGGGACTGCTTCTTGGCACTCAGTCTCTTTCCCAACCCGTCTCCTTTCACCCACACAAATGAATGAACACACATGCACACTTTCTCCCTTTCTTTGGCTCTATAGTTTTTCTTTTCTCCTTAATCAAGATGCTGGCTACAGTTACTATTACTGCCATGAGGTTGGTATCCTCAATTCTCTGTTCTTCATTCCCCATAACCCTCCTGCAATCATTGTGCAATGACTGTTCTTTCTTATTGGCTGGTGAATCTTTCTCTCCCCACCTCAAAGGTCTAGGTCAGCTGGGAGACTCCACATCCGGTGCCCCCACCCACTGGAATCTGTGGGGGCTGGAGGGGGCACGGGGTTGGAGGGTGGAGAGAGTGGGAAGGACACCTGACAGGGGCTGAGATAGACAGGGCCTTTGTGTTCCTTTCCAGGGAATGAGAGGAGCCGTGGGCAGCAACACAAAACCCTTTCTAATCTGGCTTTGGCTTAGCTGCCCTCTCAACTGAAGTGGGATGGCCCCTTGCAAAGGAAGAAGAGAGAGAGAAGCCTGGGCCAACCTCACAGCAGACCCAGGAGGCACCAATGTGGGAGGCGACAGAGGGGGTAGACCCTGTCCCTTCTCTCTGGGGACAGTAGGGCCACAGTAGGGGGTTGTGTAAGAGCTGAAACAATAAGAATAGGGGGCTCCCAATATCTCAAGATTCCTCTGGGAACTCCTGAAAGCCATTTTTCCTGCTGATCTCCTGCTTTACATATTCATACTGAGTGAAGGGAGTGGCCTGGAGGAAGGGAGATCAGAGGCCCTGACCACAGCCTTATCTTTCCCTGAAACCAGTAATGAAGACAACAGCCCCTGCCTGGATCACTTGGGTGACTCAGTCTCTGGATTCACAACTAAGCTTTTCTCCTTGCTCCGGGGTGGAAGGCATCATACTGCCTCCTTTCTTCCAACAGACAGCCTATCAAATCATCTCTGCATCCTCCTGGGTCACTCAAGGTCAAAAGATAATATTCTTTGCTCCTTCTCAAGTTTTTGGTTGTTATTGGCATTCTGATTTAGGACTGGAGCAGAGGGTGGTCCCTGGAGACCCAGAGGAAGGGCAGAGATAGCCTGGCTTTGCTGTAGCTCCTGGCACAGGTTCTGCCCTCACCCTCACCAGCTGTGCCATCTCTTTCCTGCCAGCTGCTCACCAGGCCTGCCAGAGGCTGGAAGGCGAAGAAGAAGGTAGTAAACTATGGTAAACGAAGGTGCCCTCCCTCCCACCAAAGTGACAGCTGGACTAGGAGGGGTGAAGGGAGGTGGGCAGATGGCACCAAGTTGTGAACATCAGGGAAGTTATTGTGGGGAGGGGGAAATCTGGCTGCTTCTCAAACCTTTGCAGCTGTTCCTCCCTGCCCAATGTTATGAGTCAGAACTGACTCAAACCTCTCTCCATAATCTTAAACTGGGTGGGTGGTTGGGGGGGAGGTAAGGGAATGAGTGGGACATCTCATCTTCAAGAGCAGTCTTCCAGCCAGACCTGGCTTGTGCCTAAACTTGGTCAGGGGTGGGGGCTTCTGGTGTTGATGGGAAGAGGTTCATACCCCACATTGAGGTGATCCACCAAAGCTTCCGTCAGGCATGTCGCTGCAGTGATAGCCTCTCGCCTCCTCTTCTCTGGGGGGAGGGGGGAAAGGTATTGGAGTGGCGACTTGGTTTTTGAGGGGTGGTGATGAAGGTTTCCTACCAATTTATTACTATTCTGCTAGTTGTGGGAACACTGCAACTAATTTCAGAGTGCCAGAGGTGAAAAGGACTTTTTCAAACATAAACACCTTCCATTTTAGAGGTGAGGAAGCTGGTACCCTGAGGGGGGAAGCGACTCACATAGGGGCCCTAACGAGTCGTTGGCAACGACCAGGACTCCTGCCTCCCAGGCAGTCTCTCCCCACTTTCTTGGCCCACAGATCGCTAACTCCAGGACTCCAAGCCCAGGCTCAGGAAACAAGCGCCCCACACACTTTTCGGTGGGTTCTGGACTCCAAGAATCCCACCTTTGTCGGGTCCCCAGCACCCTCCTCCCTTCAAGGAGCATCCCTTCCCACTTTCAGGATGAGAGGCTGCCTGGACCAATCGGCACAGCGTTCCATGAGCAAGGGGCGGGACTAAGGGGCCAGGGAGCCCACGCGTAGGGAGCGTACTGAGGGGCCCAGGAGTGTTGCTAAAGGGACTCGAGCCCGTTGCCGCCGGGCCGGACTTTCCCCAAAGCCCCCAGCTCCCGATGCCCATGCCCACTAGCCCGCGCTCTTCCCTGGATCTGGGCCATTACTCGAGGTCCAGGCTCGGGGCTGAGCTAGGCCGCGGCAGGAGAGGAAACGGAAGACACGATGTCGGCTCACCCTGCAGCTCCTTGCGTTCATTCTGCTTAGCCTGGTGTTCCTTCAGCAGGCGGGACAGCATGGTCGCGTCGGGGTGGGGGCTGGGGGCTGGACACGCCCGGCCCCCTCCGACACCCGGAGCAGAAACGCACTCCTCCGCGCCGGAGAGGCCGGGGTCACGTGACCGCACTGTCACGTGAGGCGGGGACCGCCCCCCTCTTTGAGCCTAGGTTGACAGGTAGTGAATGAAGATCTTGGCTGGGAAGAAAGAGAATAGTAGAGGGTTGGAGGCAAGTGAGCTCTTGTCTTTATTGGGGGTTCACTTTTTGGTGAGTGTTGGAAGACACTTTCTTTAGCACTTATATTGTAGAGCCAATTTTTAAACATTTCTTTTGGCTCTCTGGCTCCCGGGTGTGTGTGTGTGTGCGGGGGCAGGGAGGTTGATGTTGCCAGGCTGTCCATCACGGTTTGGTTGTTGCCGTAGAGAGGCTCCCTAGACTCATTGAAATTCTTTTCCTTTCTTGCCTTTCCTTCCTGGCGGCTCTGGCCGGTTCTTTTCCCTTTAGGAGGGACCACTTTCCTTTCTTTTCCAGCCCTCTGTCTTCTCACCACTGCTGCGGTCCCTCAGCGCTAAGTGATCATTGTAGAGAAGCAGCTTTTAAGGCACCTCAAGTGGCCTCCTAGGGAGCTTTGCTAATTTGACTGGCTCTCTGCAGTAACGTGGAATTCCATCGCTGTCCCTTTGTGGTCAGGCGATGCAAACCCATTTCAATCTTACCGGAAGAATAAATGCTGCTGTCACAGTAAAAAGTATATTATATAACACCTCTCTGAACTAAGAAAAATACTTCTGGGATTAACTCCAACAAGAAA